ACCTGTTAGTGGATTTCAGCATTCCTGTGAGAACATAAACTGTGAATATGAAATGGTAACACATTCATGCTTCCTTTTTTTTTTTTTTTTTTTTTTTTCAGAACTGGGGATTGAACTCAGGTCCTTGTGCTTGCCAGGGAAGCCCTTATTCTACTGAACCATCTCCCTGGCCCACATGCTTCCTTTTTAAGCTTATAATTGTCTGCTTCTGAAAAATGTATTTAGTATAGGGCCTACACTGTCTCACTATACAGATCGAAATCATAGAGATCCTCCTGTTTTTCAGCCTCCCAAGTGCTGAGATTACAGGCATGCACCACCATTCCCAGTCTCATTCACCATCTCAGCATGCCCCAGGGGTGGGGCCAGCAAGGCAGACCAGGGATCAAGTGCCCAGGCCTGACATCTCCCTAAACAGGCACTTCAATCCAGTGACCTATCTGTCTGGCACTTCTCTTGTTATTTTGTAATCTATCTATTCTTATACCAATCTCTAGAAAGTTGAGATTATATTTATATAACTAAATGTGTATCAAACAAATATATTCTGAACTTAATAATGTAGCTGTTATTATTTCCCTCATTCACACACAAGCATACCTGAAGAGATGATTTCCTTTGGTGTCAAAACTGTCAGGAAGGATATATTTGTCAATAAGTATATCACAGTCACAACGGACGCAGCAGAAATCAGAGATCTGGGAAGTGTGTGAGCAGGGTTTTTCACCTCTCCTAAGAAACACAAAAAATTAGAGGATCAAATATTGCTTAAATGTTGAGTTGCTTCTACTACAAAGGAGAAGAACCAGCTATTCTATTGTTATAACTTTTTATTAATTTTATCGGGAAAAAAATAGCAATGAGACAGTTTCAAAATCAATTAGAAGGACAGTCTCAATAATTAATACATTGTATAATGCTGTCTTCATAGCAGTTATTCATAGTACAAGATGCAGACATGATATGCTGTCCAAATACTATGCATAAAAATCTTTCTTCTCGAGACCCAGTCCTAGCCCAGGTCC